AAACCGATGTAAACAGTCACAATCTTCATCAGCGCATGCAGTGCCTCTCTATGCCGCTGCTTTCCGTGTGTTCTACATCTCAAATATTAAACTTGCAAAAGATATGTGAACGTTTCATATTACTTACACATGCTTATTCTGAATATATGTGAAAGACACTTGTCAGATTTTATTTTAGAGAGCAGGTGGGAGGTTCAGCTGTGTGCTCTTCATTTTCTGTCTGATTCAGCTAGTGCTCACACAGCAAAAGAGCGTGTGTTTGTAGGGGCGTGACGTGGTGCCGATCCACGAATCACAGCACATTATGTTAGCTGACCTATCAGAGCCTCTTGAAGGTGGGCCTTTCAGAGGAATTAGGATATATGACAGTCGTTTTCATGTTAGCTGAGTAGCTGTATATAATCAAAGTAAGATATATGGAAAAATAATGTGATTTTGTACAAATGAAGCATGAGCACACATTGCTTTGCATGTTATAAACAAAACCAAGCCTTAAAAAATACACTCTCGACCACCCTTTTAACACAAATGGAAACTTTGTGCTGTGTGTACAAAAAGGTTTGTAATGGTGGACAGTTGCAGATTCCTTGTAATCTAGATTACACATTGGATTACAAATGTACGTTATGTACATGAAAATAGCTTATTTTTGAATGTTTGTAATTAGATTACAATAACTTTGTATTGATTGCAAGATCAGTAATTGAATTATTTGCCTCAATCTGATTAACACAATAATATGATTAAGGCATTTACATGAGTTGCTTTTTGAATGTTCTTTTCATGATCTCGTTTTACATGTTATAGCACATAATTGGATTAGCGTCACCACGCTATCCACATTTCCTACAGAGTTTCATGAAATTTCCAGTGTTCCATTTTTAATTTGTCAACTTTAACTGCAGTTTGGCACTTTCACCTACATTCAGGAACATTTCATGCATGCTGTGTGTGTAGACTATCCTGTCGGATATGCGGTGAAAATCCTACTAGACTGTAATAGTTTTATTTAGGTGTTTACATTTCTGTACTGCACTTCAATAATGCGATTAAAATCAGCATACTCCACATGTCTTGATTTGATTTCTGTTTAGTTCGATTATGACTTTAGTTGGATTAAGGTAATCAAAAATCACAATTTACATGATCGACTCTTAATTAGAGTATTGTCTTAATCGAATTAAAATCGGATTATTGGTGTCCATGTAAACATACTCATTGGTATTCAGTTATTTTTCTTTTACTCTTTTTTTATTTATATTTTCCTTTTTTAAATAATATTTTATAATATTTAGCATTCTTACAATTCAGTTAGATTACAACCAATTTTCTGAATTTTGGTGTGAATGTAATGTTGGCCATTTTTTACCATTTGGGACACTTTATTCACTTGAATCACCCCTGAGATTTTACCAAGGTTAAGGGTAATCCGAAAGTAATCAAAGTATACTACCTAAAATCAATTTACTGTAGATTTGCCACAAACTACAAAATTTAATTTGTAATCAATAACATTTTTCATTTTAGTAATAACACCTAGTAACTGTTCAGGTTTCGTGCATTCATTCTAAAAAAAAATCTAAATGGTGTTTTTGCAGGGTCCCATAGAACAATGTTTCTCAACCACGTTCCTGGAGGACAACCAACACTGCATGTAAATATCTCCTTTGTCGGTTACACCCATTACAGGTCTTTCAGCCTCTGTTATGAGCTCATGATCTGAATCAGGTGTGTTTGTTTAAGGAGTGTGCAAAATGTGGAGAGCTGGTGGTCCTCCAGAAACATGGTTGACAAACACTGCCATAGAATAGCCATTTTGGGTTCTCAAAAATAATATTTCGGTTAGGATTTCATAAAAAAAAAATAATAACAATAATAATTTTAAAAAAAACATTTTTTTAGCATGAATAACATTTTAAGAGTATAAAGAACATTTTTCCACAACTTTTTGTGAAATTGAAAGTTTCCAAAGATGTTCGTGTAACCATGAACCTTTATTTTTTAGTTATACAAACTAATTGCTAATATGCTCAACAGCACTGAGAAGCAAAAATCAAACTTTTCAATACACAAACCACCAATATTTATCACAATTAATCATAGTAATGCTGACTGAAACCATGGCATTGTGAGATATTCATTTAAATTGCACTGTAAAGAAATTTGTTCTGCTTTTAATATTTTAGTTGAATCAAATTAAGCCATAGTCATCTCAACTTACATCAAGCAAACTGACTAAAAATATTAAGTTAAACTTTGTATAACTAAAAAAATCTAGTGAAAACCTGATACATTTAAAACAGGGGTGCCCAAACTTTTCCTTTTGAAGGGCTAAAAACCAAACTTAATTGAGGCTAATGGGCCAAAGGTAAATATAGGTTAGGTTATTTACCATAGGTAATTTCCTAATTTGTTTATTATTGTTTAAAATTACTAGAAAACGTTATTTTATACCAACTAAGTCATTATGTTTAAAATTGTACAATTAACTTATTACAGTAAAAACAAAACAATCTAAATTCTGACAGAATTAAACCAGCTTTTGTCTTGCCAATGTCTTCTGCATAGTCCTCTATCTATCTATCAAGTGACAGTAATTACATTTGATAAAATTAAGACTCATTTACATTTAATTGAAATACTTAAATTCAGTTTGCTTTTTTGTAGCTCAGCAATAAAACATACAAAAAGGTTACATCAAATTATAATGATGATCTCTGAATTAAAGGCATTCACCCCAACTCTCTCCATCAAAATCACTCTCCTCTCAGATTGGATGGTGGGCCAAATCAAAGGATACAATGGGCCAACTTTGGTCTGCGGGCCATACTTTGGGCATCTCTGATTTAGAATAAAAATAAGTTAAAGCTACATAAAATTATTTGTTGTCAAGACTTTTTCCATTATGCTTTTTTAACGGTGTGTTATTATTATTATTAATGTAACAATATATTAGAACATAGATTGTAACAATTATCATTAACGCATTGTTATTGCATATATATTAATAAAGATATAATTAATAGTAAATAAAGTGTCAGTACGTCATCAACTTATAGTTTATTATTTTATGTTTTGGTATTTTGGTAACATTACAATACGGGACAAATGTTAATGTGTTTACTAAAATGAAAAAGCTACGATCAACACATTTGTTACAGTATTTTATCATCTTTGGTATCATTGGTGAATGAAAATACAGTTTATTGTTAGTTCATGTTAATTCACAGTGCATTAATGCCAACAAGAACATCTTTAATAATGCGATAGTATATGTTGAACTATGATTAATAAATGCTGTACAAGCATTTTATTAGCTAAAATCCTATATGTATTAATCAAAATGTGTAAGATATGTAATTTTTTTTATGTTACATGATTTTATTTTTATTTAATAATCTAAGTTTACACTAGATATCTTCAATAATGATTTCTTTACTTGTTTTTTTTTTTTACTTTTTTATTCCATTTTAAATGAAGTGTTCACATTAAACAACTGAAGTAAATTCACATTCTGAAAGATGCCCCACTCAAGCTCATTTCTACTGTCAACTCAAAACAAAATAAAAAATAACATTAAAACAAGTAAAAAAAAAAAGGAGAAAAAAAAGAGGTTAAGCATTTTAATATTTTTTGTTGGAATAGCATTTCCACATTGTAAAGTGTGGCTTCTAGCATTCAAATGCCCTTTTTCTCTTCTGGGTTAAATGAGGTCTCTTTGTATTGCACATTACTCATTTCCTATCGTTCTGAAAGGGTTGCTTGTGTTGCATCCATAGGCCTCAGTCCAGTCAATCACAAAACAGCTATCTATTTTATACTTAATGAGCAAAAAAAAACAAGAAAAAGGAAAAAATAATAATAATCTCTATTTGTAGCAAACAAAAACTGTGACCTAATCTATGGCTTGTAGGACTTTAAAAGAATCAAGGGCACCAGTAACTACGTATAATAACGGAGAACAACCAATGACCTCAACATGAAGTTTAAAATACAAAAGGCCTGAACAAATTAAATATCTATTTTATTATTAATTTAATAATAAATAATGGATTCCTTTTTAAATTAAACTGGCTTTTGTACCTTCTGCATATGGCGTCTCATTATGATACGTTTTGTATATAGATAAAGATTACCTGTCTTTATTAAACTATTATCTGTCTAAATAATAATATTTGATCATATTTTTCATTGTAAAGTTAAATAAAAACACACATTATAATATACTCATAAAATATACTCTTTTTCTCAGAACGGCTACACGAAATAACTGAAAACAATCAAACTACCTGTTGCTAACCTTCATTAATAAATGTTGATTATAGTCTAACTTTCCGAATGAAAAAAATATTATGGTAGTATTTAGTTTAATTGTATTTATTAACCATGCTATAAAATATTATAGCACAGTATATATTATAATATTTACAACATTTTGTAGTGTTAACTATAGTGAATTGATAAACTTATAAATACTACAGTATAATTCAATCTTCACTACTTTAAACAGTGATGAATACTAAAATATTAATACAATACTGCCAATTAATTACCAAAATTACCAGAACATAATAATTCAAGTAATATAGTATGATTCAAAAACGTTTTTACTATAAATTGTTATATATATATATATATATATATTTTTTGTCCATTTGTGTTGTAATCAATATTAAACATACTATACATTAAAATGCATTGTAAAGCAGGTGGACCGAAAACGTGACTTCTTTCTTTGTTGATTTATTCCACTTGTAAATTGTGCTGAGCAGATAAAATCCCACAAACTGTTTCCAACCAGGTCAAGTTTATGAAAAGTCATCCAATGTTAAGATTCCATTCAGTAATCGAGTTACATCCCAATGTCTCGTGTCCAAGTGAAGTTTACAAGCAGTCAGTTCATTACATGATGAACAAAGGAATACTCCACTCCCCCTTTGTGCTCAACTTTGAGAGCAGGCGCACTAAAACTACCGCTGAAATATCCCAAAACCATTTACCTACGTCAGGATGTCATCTTCGGAGAGTTTTGTCAAACACGTGTGGAGGTCCACTGAGAGGCAATCCCGTTTTGTCGTTATAATCCATAAGCGCAAAACTTTCCGCGTTCGGATGTTTGGTTGTATTGATGATGCGCTTTGTCTACACGTGCTTAGACGGCTCGTCTGACCACGCCCCTTTCACGCATGACCCCACCCCTTGTCCGATATCATGCACTTTGCAGAATAGACTTTTGTGAAGAAACTTATTTAATGTAAGTCAATAAATCAATTAATTAATTAATTAATGGTATCACCATATTTCCCCAATTGATGAATTATATCAAGAATTGCAAATATATGTGTTTTAGAGGTACAGCTTTTCTAAAATGTAATGTTTAAATGTGTAAAAAAATATTATATCATTAAATATGTGCTAATTTGCATACATGTGTGGTCCAAGATTCTGAACATTGGATTTATATTCCATCTTACATGGACTCAATAAGGAAAATAATAAGGAATCCCTGCAGGGATTTTGGGGCCCTAAGCAATTCCAGCCATTGGGTCCAAGTCCTGAAATGCACCCTTTCTACTTTTATTTAAATTTTATTTAATTTGCTTTTTTATTTGTGTCTTTTTATTATTATTATTATTATTTTTATTATTTTACATTTTATATTATTGCAATCTCTACATTTTAAATGATTCATTTTCTTAAAATGAATGTACAACAAAAAATCAAAAAATATATATACATATTTTATAGATTTTACTGCTGGACTGCTCCATTAATTATTTTGCAATATTATTATTATTATTACATACCTTTATATTATTATAATAATATTACATTTGATTGTATGTAAAATAATATTTAATTACTTTAAATTTGTATTTGTAACTCTCATCATAACAAATATGGTAGAAAACGATTTTATATATTGTTTATAGGTATAATTTATACTTCTAGATATTTATTGGGGGCCCCCAGGTTTCCCCTAAGCGGCAGCTTACTTCGCTTGTTGGTTAAATCTGCTCCTGTGTACCGCAATTATGTTGTACTGCTTGCTTCAAGCTTATATAACTCTTTTGCACAATATAAAACTTTAATTCCCCAGTGGCGTCCCCAGAAAATTTTCTTAGGGGTGGCCAGAAGAAGCCAAACCAAATCTTGGTGTGGCACACACAAAAATAATGAATTCAGTGTAATGTTTTATTTTTGTTTCTGGTAAACGGAATAATGTGGTTTTAATTCATTTAATTTATTAACTTTGAACTATTGCTATTTATTCCTTGAAATAATTCAGCAAGTACATGAGCAAACCAAATAAAAACCAATATTTAGTTTTAAAAACTATTTTATTATCATATTTATTATATATTAATTAATAAAACAGACAAATGAAAAAACTGAACAAAAGGCATTACTATACACTCTCACTAACTATTCAGACCCTAATAATGCCATTTATCCATATTGCTTTTTGAGCCACAACATTATCAATAAAGCTTCTTCTAAGTACCTTTTTACAAAATACAGGCACAAAATCATTGATATGTGTGGCCCTTGTGAGTCAACCAGCAAAAAAAAATGAGGAGCTACTGTAAATTTACTAGATTATGAAAAGCTGATTTCAAAACACATTTATTTATTTTTTTATTTATTTATTTATTTATTTATTTATTTATTTATTTTGGGGAATTTGTGGTTTTCAATTGGATAAAACAACATTTTTCATTTTAAAAATAATAATTTCCTAATAAAAAGTGTACAATCCCATGAACCCAAAGTCGTGTTTCGTCTCTGTTCGACAAACAATCCTAAACAAATAATGTTACAAGAACTTTATCCTTCATTTTTTTTTTAAAGAACTTAACGCAACCTTAAAATTGCTATGGTAAAGTCAGCTTATCTGCTGTGACTGAACGTCAGCGGTTCAGCCTGAATAGCAAAACGGTGATATTTAGCTCATGCTTACATAGGAAATTATAGTAAAATTTTCATTGTATAACAGCATGCATATAATGTGTGGTACTCAGCCAATGCGAATGTTCTGTAGAAAAGCAAAAACATTAAACAAAGCAAACCAAAATTACCTAATTTCGAGTCTTGTTAAGTGACGTTAACAAATTTGGTTTTTAAAAACTTAACATAGAACATAGGATAGTTTATTAGTCAAGACATAAATGTATGACATACATACCTGTTGTTGTTTCTTTAAAAAAATTGCCATTGCTGTCTATTGAAGGTGTGTGCGTGCTGTCATAGACAATAGGGGAAGGGGAGGGGCATTGAACCAGCTATTTCAGTGGCACCAATCAGTCCACAATAATTTAATGGCTGCATTTTATTTTCTTTATTTTTATTCTTTATTTATTGATATATTGTGAATTTATGTAAGTACATTTAACTCAATAATATCAACAGAAAAATCATATTAAGGTAGCCACAGGGGTGGCCAGAGTAATTAATTTCACTAATATTATTGTGATATAATAACAGCAATATTAAAATGTTATTTGATTTATTTACAATACAGTTTGTAAAGTAATATTTTCTGTCTTTTGGTGGATATATGAGAGACTTGCTTTGATTACCAAATTAATCTAATTGGATTTGCATTGTAAACATTAAATAAAAGTTATAAATGTATTATATTTTATTTCATATATTAAGTTTTTAGTTAAGATACGCCTAAAATCATTCAGCATAGCTAAATCTGCAGATTTGTTTTACATCAAGATTTATTTATTTATTTATTTATTTATTTATTTATTTATTTATTTATTTATTTATTTATTTATTTATTTATTTATGTCTTTTATTTTTATTTATTTTATTTAAACCTTTTTATTTTTGTTAGTTTACATTTTACAGTCAACTGTTTTTTTACTAAGGAGAATTTTGGTATGTCTATCCCTTCATAATTCAGAAAATACACCAAACTAGCAAAAAAAAAAAAAAATTTAAATTAAATACGCATAAATATGCCTCTGTCTTAGACCTTCAGAATACAGATATTAGAATAAAAATGTAAAAATTTGGTGTATGTTAATTCTGCTGTAGAAATTTATGCAGATTAAAAAATATTTAAAGAAAACTGCCTTTAATATTATGCAGTAATTAAAAAATACAACAACAACAACAAAACAAGATGCTTTGGATGCTTTCTTTTAGAGAAAAAAAAAACAACACTTTATGAAAAGCCAAAAAGCTCAACATTTCAAAGCTGACAGATGCATTCAAAAAATAAGTCTTCGCATAGCCTTGGATAAATCACTCATAAATCAGTTCTTAAAATGATATTCATAAATGAGAGATATGTTGATTCACCTTCTGCAGCTGTTTATTTCTTTCCAAAATGTTGATTGTACTGAGATCTTGGTTTTTAAATGAATTGCTTGAGGGTGGTTAATATATAAATGTACTTTTATGGCGGCTTATTAGGCTGTATTAGTGACATAGTGGCAAGCATAGTATGTGGATAAGTGTAAATATTTCTAAGGGTTCCTAATCTCTCTAAGTGCACCGATTCAAACCATCTGTGCTGCCTTCTGTTAGCACTGAATAGTTCTTCAGCATGTTGATCTTGTTAATTAATTTTTATTAAATACTAAAAATAAAGAGGCAGTATATTAAAGCAGGTAAAATAAGTATTGAACGTGACTATTTTTACCAAAAGAACATTTCTAAAGGTCATGTTGACTTTGAATTTTCAACAGATGTCAGTAACAATCAATTTAATCCATGTAAGTAAAACAAAAATCATTTGTTTAGAAATGACATTATGTGAAATGACACAAGGAAAAATATTGGACACATGAAGAAAGTGAGGTTGAAAAGACACGGAAAGCCAAGACAGCAGCTGAAATCTTTCAGTAGTCTAAAAGCAACCCTACCATCATCAGTGGAAATGAATATTTTTAGCTGCTTCAGTCCCAACACCTACATCAACAGATGCTAAAGATGAAACTGGGGTAGACAATTCAGCAAGACAAGTGTCAGACCAGTGCAATGCATGCAACTCCATACAGAAGGCATCTTGAAAAAAAAAAAAAAAAAAAAAAAAATATATATATATATATATATATATATATATATATATTATAAGTCTGAATTATTATCCCCCTGTAATTTTTTCCCCAATTTTCTGTTTAACTGAGAGAAGATTGTTACAACACATTACTAAACATAATACTTTACTAGATATTTTTAAATACTAGTATGCAGCTTAAAATGACATTTAAAGGCTTACCTAGGTTAATTAGGTTAATTAGGCAAGTTATGGTAATTAGGTAAGTCATTGTATAATGATGGCTTGCTCTGTAGACAGTCGAAAGAAAAACATTGCTCAAGGGGGCTAATAAAATTGACCTTAAATGTTTTTTTTTAATTATTATTAACTTAAAATAAAAACAATAAAAATGTAAATATAACAAATAAGACATTCTTTAGAAGAAATAATTATTATAGGGAATACTATTATAGGGAATACTGATAACAAACAAGTACATTACAAGCAACACACAGATACATGAGCTTGTTGCAACCATCACCCCTTCACAATCCATCATCCAAGTGTGCTTGACAGCCTGATGCATTCATATCTCAACTTTACACAACTGTGGTATTCAAACAGCTTCCTGTCTCTTTTCTCATTTGGGGGATGTAAACAGATTAACACGAAATCTTTCGAGAGACCCCCCCCTCCCCGCTCCCGACACAAACCAGTGCACCCAGAAGGAATTAATTGGTTTCAGCAGTCATCCCTGCTGAACAATCCACTTGAGCGCCCCCAATGTAGCCTCCCGGCAGAGACATCTCATCTGTCTCGCACTCCTCCCCCACAGAGCCCATGTCTAGACCCTCGTGCTGCAGTGTGCATCCATGCTCACACTTGACTAGGGCATTAGGTTCACACCCTGCGCTATCAGCCGGGATGATGCTAGATAATGACTCAGGCCCGAGTTGCTGGAACACTCAGCTCTTGAGACACTGACAAACCATCTGATCTATTTTTCTCTCATGTAAACATGTCGTATTGCGGCCGTGTAATGTGATTATTGTGTGTCTGTAACGTCTGGATTGTCACGTAGCCATTCGCCTGTGTCTTATTGCGGACATGGGGAGCGATGGATGGATGGATGTTTACTTAAAGACTGAAGAAGTGTATGTCATTATGGAATGGTTCCTCGTTGCTCTGTTTGCATCAGACCTGCTGGTCAATGTTTTGGTGTGCTCCTGTGTGTGTGTGTGTGTTATGAACTAAACAAAGCAGTGATGCAGAAGAGTGAAGTTAATAATTAACTGTGTTCATATTGAAGCTTTGAGCTTAATATTGAAAACCAGAGAGTTTTTAAAGCATTTCTTGAGAGCACGTTGCATTTTAGAAACTAACAAGGGCTTTGTTTACAGCTGTGTCATGATCATTTTGTTTTGCTCTTATAAAGCAATTTGGAAAGTTGCTGCTATATAAATTTGATTGAAAAGATAAAACATGCAAACATTTAGGATAAAATTATGATTTCTATTAAAAATGAAAGATTCCAAAGGGGTTTTCACTGTGATGCCACATTATGTGCCCTCAAAGACTTGTTCAGTAAACTATTCCTTAGAAACAGAACCATATTTTAGTATGAATAACTGTTTTGCTGAGTTTGGATGTTAAATGTTCTTCCTGAAACCATTAATGTCAATATAAAACCTTTATTTTAAAAAATGTATGCAGTGTGGTTGTTTTGCTTCGAGTGTGATAAGCGTGAAGCCATTATTTTTTCTTTCAGTGTTGGTGTAGTGAGGCAATACTGCTGTCAAAAGTGAAGCATTGTGGTGCAGGCTTATTCTTTACTTTTATGAAGTGTTTAACTGTGAAGAGAAATAGTCTTGCAACGTAAGACGTTCAGTTCCAGCTGATTTTATTTCCTTCTTGGAAAAAGACAAAGTTCTGTACAGAGGTCTGACAGGCAGTGACTTGACACAATTGGCTGGCTTTTTGAGTTCACTACTCAAATGTTGAGATATGGTATGGCAAGACAAAACAATATTGTACACAGCATATTGCACAAAATGAAACAATAAAACATATCTATATATTCCAAAAGTCATGAACAACACTCTTAAACATAGGGATGTATAAAGATATATGTTCTCGCTCCTGTCATGATATATCATTGTCAGACATAAACACGCAATCTTTTACTTATTTTACAGTCATTGTACATAGAAATCTTCATGTTGATCCTCTGCCTTAAACACAACTGCTCTACATAAACCTGAATTGAGAAATACAAAATGCTATTCGCCATGCCATAATATACTAAAACAATTAGCTACATTTAGCCAACAAGTAGAAAAGATTAAATATCCTTGTACAATTATGGAGTGAAGATGTACTTCATTGTTCATGAATTATAGGCATTTCGACCGTATCTGTAATTCCATCCAGTGGTTCAAACCGAAACGTGTCACTAGAAAAAGCACAAAGAAGTCGGTATTCAAAAGGTACAGTATCCCCAATAAATCGCAGCCTTCGCTGCTGCAGCTACATAAAACACCTCACTCAGCGCGCGCATCGTAGGCTAATGACGATTGGTCGTTGAAATGCAGATACTGTCTCTTTAAGAAGCCTGTGGATTGACACTGTAAACATGTTTAGGGGGCAGATTTTGGAGACAACCCAACCCCCTGCTTTTAAAAATCGGAAATCCAAACAGCGATATTCACCGATTGACACCCCCTCGATAGATTTTGTACAAAAATACACTCAGAAAATAATGAAACATTTAATCTCCGTTCCATGTGAGAGGTCATCAATTAAATAATACGAAACAAGTCTAGCCCTTCCGCGAGACAGACGGACATGTGCATGTGTAGTAGCCTATACACACAACAGACTGACTAGAACACAACGGACTGAGGGGAGTTAGAGGAGCAATGTTTGGCCGTTATAAATACATCGAGAGTATAAAAATGCCAGCGCAGAAAAGTTACTCGAGGATGAAAAAGTAAAAAGCAGACAGAGAGAGAGAGAGATAGAGAGAGAGAGAATAAACGCTCCTCTGATGAATTTTGGTCCTGATTTGTAGTGTAAAAGAGTCGAATCATCTGAGTTGCGTCTGAATCCTGATGTCATGACGACAGAAAAGCTGGTGATTGTGTTTGTTTTTGCGTCTGCCATTCGGTTTCAAAGAATCAATCAACATCAGTTACGCTTCTCGACAGCCTTTCGTAGTTAAATCGTAATGAAAGCATGCGACTCTGGTCTAACAAACGATTCTGGTAAACAATCTCAAGCGCGAGCAAATGAATCGCTCGCATGCTCTCCGCTCAGTACCTCCAGCACAACAAGCATTCAGACCAGACTTTTTTTTCTCTTTAAAAACGTCCCTTTTTAAGTCGAAGAGGGCGCACAACGTCAACTCGCCACCGCGCAATGCCTTCCTCTGCGTCCAAAGCGCGCCTCCCTCCAGCACCAAACGAGCAAGCTAAGCACTTTCATCTGCACTCTTGTCAGTGGATAATGAAAACCCACAGTATCTGATGCATGATAAACACGAGGAATCATGTCGTTGACTCGTCGTCTGACTCGTCTCGGAGGAGTTTGCAGCCCTCCAGTCATTTTGAGTGTTTTTTTTTTCTCTCAAAGCTGTCCTTTCATAACTAGCGCTCAATAAGTGAACACCAAGTTAGATATCGTGGATTCGAGCCAGTCCCCTGATATCATCAACTCGCTCACCTCTGGTGTGCAGTAGTCGGGGAACTCAAAGTGCGAGCCGGAGCCCGACTCAAAGTTGAACTCCAAATCTCTGTCCAGAGGCGCTGTGCCAAAGGTGCTGAAGCTGTCAAAGCCAGGGCTGGGGTCCGCCAGCTCGTCCTCGAACTCCTCATCCGAGGAGGATGACTGCGAGGAGTACGAGTGCGAGGCGGAGGGCGTCGGAGACGGCGCGCGGGTGTACTTGAAGCGCGCGGCAGGCTCCGCGTCTTCCTTTCCGCTCGCGAGCCCGTCCTCGTACAAGCTCAGCGGGTCGCTGGATTCCGCCGAGCTGCTCAGGGTGGGACTGGCCGGCACCGCGACAGAGGGCGGGCTGCTGTCTGTGCTGCATCCCCCGTACACATGCCCGCGCTTTGCTGGTTTCTCTGGGATTTGTTTGGCGGCGGACACGGACCTGGATTTGTAGAGTGCGTGGTGGTCTGCAGGGACGGAGTGTGAGGTCAGCTCGAGCGTTGTGGACTTTCTGTGCGTCCTGCTGAGAGTTTTCGAGCTCTTTTTGGATGCAGACTTGGCGCCGGGGCTAGCGCTCACGCGCTCCGCCTTCTCTCCAGTCTTTCCGCTGGATGACTTCACCTTCTTCCGAGGTCGATATTTGTAGTCTGGATAGTCTGCCATGTGCTTGAGCCGCAGGCGCTCGGCCTCGCGGATGAAGGGGATCTTGTCGCTGTCTTTTAAAAGTTTCCAGCGCTTGCCGAGTCTCTTGGAGATCTCCGCGTTGTGCATGTCCGGCGACTGCTCCATAATCTTGCGCCTCTCAATCTGCGACCAGACCATGAATGCGTTCATTGGCCTCTTGATGTGTCCCGATGGGGTTTTGCACCAGGCAATGTCCATTTTATCACCGGCTGAATTTGGAGAGCCTGGAGTCGGAGAGGCGTCCATGTCTAAGTCCATCTCCCCAGAATCAATGGAGTCGCCGGGGAGCACGTCGCTACTGCTGCTGCTGCTGGTGTGCGTCTGCTCCACCATAGCCAGGTCTGTGCCCATGCACTACAACAGTCTCAACTTTTAATTGCGCACAAAAATCCTACACGTGCTGCAGCGCTAGACGCGTTGAAAGCGCTAAGAGTCTTTCTTCTTCACTCTTGTATAAAATATGCTTTGGTCAATGTGGAAACAAAGTTGCTGCTTCTGCTGTCTTTTGGTTCAGCGCGCCATCCGCAAAGCGCATATCCCAGTCAGGAGCTCTGTCAATCCTGGCAATCTCGTCAAAATCAACAGTCTGTCGTTCAACTGCCGGTTCGACTGAAAACGAACCCAGAGTGCGCTCTGGACGCAAAGTATCTGAAGCCGTTTAATGGAAACGGACAAGTGTCTTCAGCATAGTTTGTCGTATGACCATGCGGTAGGTTTAGACGACTGCACTTTTTCATGCTCTGAGCTTCCGATCACCCTTCACAACTTTCAATACTTCTGCTAAACCGCCTCACAAGGATTTATTCTCTTCCGAAGGTATAAAGGAAAGAGAATCCAGCCAATCAGCTGCTGTCACTAGCCTATCCTCAGCCAAAGCCGCGCCCCGTCGCTTTCCATTGGCTGAATATAGTATCTAATAATAATCGGCGCGTGCAATGAGAAGCTTTCTGTCTGACCTCATTCCATCTACACTGCAAACTTAGTTTTAAAGGCACATTATGCGGCCCCCCTTTCCTAGATCGCACGCTGAATTTGGCAAGGGTGTCTAAGTTCGGATAAGCAATTCTGATGTTTGATTGTGAGTGATTAAAACAGTGTTATTAAACTCGGCTTTTCACAATCAAGTGTTTACTTAGTCTCACTGCTGATGTAACAAAAATCACAGAGAGGCTTAAAATACTAGGCATTTACAATATTACGTTGCAAAATTAATAAATTGTAGTTTTTAAAACACACAATGTCTTACAAAGTAATATTCACAAAGCCGCGCGTTTTATTTATTTACACACAGAGACAGACAGTGCGCGCACATGCCACGCGCTTCTTCATTCAAAGGCAGCATGTTCTTGTTTATGTTAGTGTCACGCGCACTGGTTGCAAATAATACAAAATAATACATAGGTTTCCAGCAGTGTACGTTTCTTAAACAGCCGATTTAGAGTAGCACATCCTTCCAAACTGTGTATTTCTAGCTCCTAGAATGAAGCTGATTTCTGAATGCTCTCACACAGCAGACAGTCAAATGAAAGAGATGAGGAAACAGCATTTGGCATCATGACTGTTCAAAACGGCTCTCGTTTATGCCTCTAGATGGCGCAGTAGAGCCAAAGTCGAGCTCAAAGCATCAGTTGTTGTTCCACACTGAAAGTGTCTGCCTCGAATAACTGTTTAACTTGATAAAAACAGATCTGAATATGCATTACGTAATCAAGTCATCTATCATGAATAGAAAATAACAACAAAAGCAGTCCATTCTCACATTATTGTGAGATAAAGCCATGCATCTTCACTATCTCCTCTAAGCAGACAGTCATTTCCTAAACCTTCAGTCAATATAACTGAAATCAATAGTTTAATGACCTCATAGCTGAACTATTCAGAGTTTTAAAGAATTGTTAACCATTTACCACACTAAAAGTGCACCGAGTGCGTGACATTTGCTGAGGCGATTATGTGGCCGTATGATTTTGAATACAGTAATCAAACACCTTTGACTGTTTAAACAGGTGTGCTGGGAGAGAATGCACATGAGCTTACCTTATCGTGTCTCATCACAGGGACAGATGGCCAGCCTGCTACACTTACGATTATTTACTTTAGCAGTTACACCTCAGGAACACACCAGGCCACACGACCATTATTTTCTCCAGGTGAGTCAAAGGTTGGAGCTGTTGCCTGTTCTTGCCACATCTGTAAAATTAGGTGTCTGTCTCACAATGTTAACATTTGCTTCTATTTGCCTATAATCCAGACAATCAAAGCAGGTTCTTTATGTTAATTGCTCAATTTTAGTCAGTTTGGGGGATGATTTAGACTATTGAAAAGAATTTTTTTTAAATATAAGTTTATTTTATTAAAACGTATCTATTTGTATCTTATACGGATATTATTTATATATTTTGTATATATACTGTATAGACAGAATTATTAGCCCCCTTTTTATTTTTTCCTTTTTAAATATTTCCCAAATGATGTTTAACAGAACAGGGAAATTTTCACAGTAAGTCTGATTGTTTTTTTTTTTTTGTTTTTTTTGTTTGTTTGTTTTTTTCTTTTAGAGAAAGTCTTATTTGTTTTATTTCGGCTAGAATAGAAGCAGTTTTTTTATTTTTTTAAAGCAATATTAGGGACAATTATTAGCCCCTTTCAGCAATTTTTTTGACAGTCTATAGAACAAACCATCATTATACAATAGCTTGCCTAATTATTCTAACCTGCCTAGTTAACCTAATTTACCTAGTTAAGCCTTTAAATGTCACTTTAAGCTGTATAGAAGTGTCTTGAAAAATATCTAGTATTATAATTCTGGCCTCAAATATATATATATATATATATATATATATATATATATATATATATATATATATATATATACAGTTGAAGTCAGAATTATTAGCCCCCCTGAATTATTAGACCGCTTGTTTATTTTTTCCCCAATTTCTGTTTAATGGAGATAAGATTTTTTTCAAAACATTTCTAAACATAATAGTTTTAATACCTCATTTCTAATAACTGATTTATTTTATCTTTGTCATGATGACAGTAAATAATATTTGACTAGATATTTTTCAAGACACTTCTATACAGCTTAAAGTGACATTTAAAGGCTTAACTAGGTTAATTAGGGTAACTAGGCAGGTTAAGGTAATTAGGCAAGTTATATATAATGATGGTTTGTTCTGTAGATTATTGGGGAAAAAATATAGCTTAAAGGGGCTAATAATTTTGTCCATAAAATGGTGTTTTAAAAATTAATAGCGGCTTTTATTCTAGCTGAAATTAAACAAATAAGACTTTTTCCAGAAGAAAAAATATTATCAGACACACAGTGAAAATGTCCTTGCTCTGTTACACATAATTTGGAAAATATAAAACAAAAAAGAAAAAAATTTGAAGGGGGCTAATAATTCTGACTTCAACTGTATATATATATATATATATATATATATATATATATATATATATATATATATATATATATATATATATATATATATATGTATATATATGTGTGTGTGTGTGTGTGTGTGTGTGTGTGTGTGGTGTGTGTGTGTGAGTGCGTATGTGTGTGTGTGTGTGTTTGTGTGTGTGTGTGTGTGTGTGTGTGTGTGTGTATACAATGTATATATAAATATATTTAAAAGCAGTCCTTCAAAATTTAATTTAGAAATATCCACTAAAGTTGTGCTTTCATAAACCAATTGCATTTTTTTTCTTTATTCTGGAGCTTTTTACAGGAGAGTTTGTTTTATTTTAATGAGATTTGAGGAGTGATAAACATATATATCCTCAAAGTCCCCTGTGTAAACACCTTGGTTCCATTAAGTATTCTTAACTTCTAAGTGTTTACATAAAAAAATATATAAATACAATGTACTCAATGTGTTCTTAATGTCTTATAGATCACTTCTGCTATGAAGGTGAGGTATGGGTATGATTAGAGAAAGGTTTGGAGGTTTTGGGTAGGTTTAAAGGTTGGTTAAGGTGTAAAGCATGGTCAATGTGTTATTAGATGGAATTCCAGAAATTAATTATAGATCTAATTACATGTACTAATTACATGTATTGAATCAAGCATAAGTACAATGTGAAACCATTTACACAATAAGAACAATGTAATTAATTATTTTCAATAATATTTTCAGTGTAAATACATATTAGTCAGGCCCACTCAATATAAAATGGGACCAAAAGCTTTACTCTAACCCTGACAACAAAATGAAACAATAATTGTGAACCTGACCATCCAGCGATTAGATTTCTGTTTTGGAAATGTATGCAAATCAGTAAATACACAACTAGATAGTGCCATGTTTGCATATTCAAACATAACATTTGTGAAAACTTGAAATTCTAAAAAACAAAATGAATAAGGCACTGTTTTTAACTAATACATTTAAATGTTTTGAGCATTTTTCATTTACATCAGTGTTTCTCAACCACGTTCCTAGAGGCCCGCCAGCACTGCATGTTTTGGATGTCTCCTTTGTCTATCCCACCCATTACAGGTCTTTCAATCTCTGCTAATGAGCTGATGATCTGAATCAGGTGTGTTTGGTTAAGGATTGATGGAAAATGTGCAGAGCAGGTGGTCATCCAGTAACTTGGTTGAAAAACACTGATTTACATGAACGCTGGTTCAAGCCTCAGCTGGGTCAGTTGGCATTTCTTTGTGGAGTTTACATGTTCTCCCTACATGGGTTTCCTCCAGGTGTTCTGTTTTCCCCTATACAGTCTAAAGACATGCGGTACAGGTGAATTGGGTTAGCTAAATTGTCCATAGTTTTATGAGTGTGTATGGATGTTTCCCAGAGATGGGTTGCAGCTGGAAGGGCATCCGCTGCATTAAAAATGTGCTTAATAAGTAGGCGGTTTATTCCACTGTGGTGACCCCGGATTAATAAAGGGACTAAGCCGAAAAGAAAATGAATAAATGAGTGATATTTACACATTTTTCTATTGACTTCAATAACAAACATTCAAAATGTGATCTTACACACACACACACACACACACACAAAACAATAATAGTAACACTGATGATAACAGATTAGGTTAAATAATATTATAACACATTTAAAACAGTAAAAAAAGAAACAAAAGAGAAAAAAAACAAAAAAAATAAAATAAATAGAGATACATAAATACCACAAATACAGCAAAGAAGGTTTTATGTATTCGTCATATTTACAAAATAATTATCATAATAATCCAAGAATCTATCACTTTTCTTGTTTTAACCAGTCTTAGAGATTTAATAAAAACATCAATTTCAATTAAAATGTATAAAAGAAGGCTGCGAATTTGAGATTTTTTGTTTGTGAAGAAAATATTTTCCATACAAATTAAACAAGTTAATGATGTAGTTCTCTGGTATGACATTTACACATTACATGTTTCTTTACATCACCTTTGACATCCCCAACTAATGGATGCAAAATACAACACTGTCTATGTCAATGAGAATGCTTTTGACAACATATTAATATTCAGTAGGAAAACCTGGTGACAGTAGGCTACATCACCTTGGATTGATAAGATTTCACAAGTAATTATAAAAAAGTGTATAATTTAAAAGCTAGAATATAATTATTTTGTAAAAAAAATACTCAAACAATCTTTATTTGAATAAAAATGTCAACAAAATAATGTTTACAGTGTGTATATTAAGGTAATTAGGGCATACCATTTTTGTGTAATCACCACATAAAAGCGAGCTACAACAAAAGGATCAGACATGGACAAATCCACTCTTATTATCAGTATGTGATCTCGCACGCTGAAACGAGAAGCTTTAGTAATGTTCAGACGGCAGCGTGTTTAATTCACTCATTCACTCCCCACTACCACGCCATTCAATCCCAACCCCTCTCCTCAAGCTTCGGCTCAGTGTTGCCATGGAAATCCTGACTGTTTGCTCTCAAAACACATTCAGACAAGAAAGTACATGATCTCGCCAGTCTTAACCCAACCCCAGCTCAACGAGGACAAGAGAACGTCCTTATCAGTCCGCGAGTCGATCTCTGCTCTGCCTCCAAACAAATACTAAGGGATTTGCATAGATGTCAATCTGATGGTTATATAGACAAGCGGCCGGCAGGGTTTATGAAAATGAGCTACAGTTGCCAGGAAGATGAATTGGGGCAGGGAACAGAGCAGACAGTGTGTAGACGCAGGTCAGGATGATAGTTGGAGCCGTTATGACACGGTCTGGAGGAGCGTGCCTTCCAGTTATTCATTACATTCTTTCTGTCCCATCACTGCTGCCTTCCTCATTACCAGGCTAATTTCTCCAGCTTCGCTGTGCCGCTGCTATCACACAATGGAGTCTTTGTATGTGTATGTGTGTGTATCTGTGTGTGTGAGAGAGAGACTGCTAAGCTCCATTGAAACTGTTCAACTGAAATATAACTGTGCTCCAGCAGGTATTCCTTTTAGTGTTTCGTTTGCCATATGCTATACGTTTTCAGAATCTTGCAAACAAAACACACACGTCTAAAAGGTCACCCAAATGTCTGTCTGTTTCTTTAGTGGGATAAACTTGCTTGTGGTGAGGTCACCCAGATAACTTGTTTAGAGGAGCCAAAACGGTTACAGCCAATTGTCCAGCTCAGCAGATTATTTCCCCCTGGAGCAGAACACTGAGGTAAGGACACAAGTTCAGGAGTGAACGGATGATCGCTTATCTTTCACATGGGTTTTACTTCCCCATTGCTGCAATAAATCAGGAGTGGAGCCCAAACACATGCCTCCTTTTTTAAAATTCAGGTTTCTATCGTGCAGGAGCTTCCAAGAACAGTAACGTTTCTCTTGATAGCATCACTTCATCACCATAACTAGTTTTGAAAGTGGTTTCATAGTAATTATGAGCTGATGTACTTGCTTGATAAAGAGAGTGTGGAAAAACGGAACTATATCTGTTGGAGAGATTCCAGTCGTGTTCATTTGTTTAAAGTGTTACCAACCGTTAGACTATAAACCCAGGTGAAGCTAATTAAAGTGCAACCGACATAATGGCACTTGTAGCACCGTTTATCTAGAGACCGGGTTTATTTCGGTTCATTTATTTTCAGCCACATGTAATTCGAAAGCTGTCAAGAGTTGTATTTCACCCTAATGTCAAAAGAAAATAAATAGGAAATGAAAAGAAAGGTATTACGTTTTTAAATTTTTTTAATGACAGTTAAATACTCCCCTGCAATGTTAATTAGTGTAGTGTCAAAAGAATCCTTTTCTTATTATCGTAATGTGAGAAAACTTTAATTATTTGAATTTTAAAAGGTTTAAATATTAATGCAGTATTATAATATCATCATTTTCTTTGAATTAGTGCTTGTTATTATATATAAAAAACATGGATAATAACCACTTAAGAAATTATTATTATTTTTTTTTTCTGGGGAACAAATTATAGAGGTATGAGTTAAAAGTTTAAGAAAAAGGTCTGAATGTCAGCTATAATATTTAGATTAATATGATAGTTTCTGAGGTTAATTAATTAAACTAAACTGCGCAATGTACAGTTGTTAATTTTATCATTTAAGAGCATGCTGTACTTTACATTTATGGCAGTTTATGCTTACTTCATTACTCCATTTTATTCATTAAACTTCATTTTTGATTGTGTGGACACGGGCCCTTGACAAATTCACACTGAAAAAATTTGTCAAAGTTACTGACATCTTTTAATCCTTTCAATGAAGGAATTTGTTGTTTTGGCATCTTCAGTAGTTCGTTATTGTTCGTTTCATTTTTTGCAGATTGAAACAATGGTTTGGTTCAGTGTTGACAAACAAAGTACAGTGGTCCCTCACTATAACATGGTTCACTTTTCGCGGTTTCACAAAATTTTTTATTTAATAATTTAGACTTTTTTCTACAGCACATTGTTTTTTTGCGTCCTGATTAGCGTATTGTGTTCTGTGTTCTGACTAGCTGTAGACTATTGACAATCAATCTCCTCCGTGCTCCTTTACAGTACAAAATGCGTTCAGATTGCCAAATTTACATAAATCTTAGATCGCTAGCAGTGTGACTGTGAAGTGCTGTACTGTATGTTTACAAGTTTTCTCCCCACAATGTCGACGAAACATTCTGCGCCGTTAAAGCCACCTGCTGTAGCACCCAAAAGGCAGAGAAAGATGCTAACCATCACAAAAAAATGTAACTTCTGGACATGCTGAAGGAAGGTAGAAGTTATGCGGTTGTAGGGCGCCATTACAGAATAAATAAATGAAGATCAAATAGTTTTGATCTTTGATTTCATTCTTTAATACTGGACTTATTTATCTACGAAGGTTTGAACTTTGAGAGTGTTAAAAAAAAGAGAAAAGTGTGAAAATGTTAATGCCTGTTTAAGAAAAGTGTATACAGTGTGTAGTGAGGGGTTTTACAGCCTTATAACATCTTTGATAATTGTAAAAAATAAAGCTGACTACTTTGCAAATTACGTACGTAGCTCGACACGAATGTCGGCAGACTTAAGACGTAAGCGGAGTTGACTGCAACGGCAGGGTTCGAATCCTGTGTAGAACACAGAAAGCAGATAAGACAAAAACAAAAGCTAAAAAATAAAATAAAGTCAGTCAGCTAATCAACAGAGGCCTCTAGAAAACAACATCTGCAAAAAATGTAGCTTCTCTGACGTATTTTGCACTCTCCAGAAATGTATATAGGGGTACGTAATCAGAATGAGCCTGGGTTGGACTTTGTCTATTGCGGGTTTATTTTAGATTGTAATAACGAGAGGCAAACGGTATTGCAAAACTACAGTGTGAGCATTCTGATGATGACCTTTGCATGTGGACATTCAAGTCTGATTACACAAATTACAATAAATATATATTTGGCCTTTAATGTTTTTAATAAATAATGTTTGTTATATTTCTGCTATATATATTTTTAACGCAACACTTCCTGGAGATATTTCTGCTGAGATTTAATGTAGGAGTTGAGAAAGGGCAGTTCATTCCATGGTGGTGACTCCTGATAAAAGAAAGGAATAAGGAGTCAATTCAAAAAGAAAAACAACAACAACAACTAAAAAAAAAAAAACTGCTTTCCTGTCTATAGTTTATGTACAATACTGTACAATATCTGGCAGCTAAAACTTGATCTCTTATTTAGTAAACACTTGAGGTTTTACTCAAGGTTATGAATAGAGCTTTTTCTTTCTTTTCTTTTTCTATTTCCTTCTTTTTTTAACAGAACCGTTAGGTATTATGTTTCTTTTAATATTTCAGCGTGTATTGGGTTGTAAACATCAAACTCAACAGCACCTTCTGAGAATGATTTTCTCAACTAAATAGCAAGCCAAATGTTTTGTTGCTTCTCTGGAGGCAACAAAAGTGTTTTGATGAACAGAGTGCATTCACTTGTAGAAAGGTCTTGTTTATGTTTTGCGAGCAACCTTGAGCAGTAGATTTTTCTCTGGGTAATTGTGAGTGGTCGACGCTTTTAAGTAACAGGAGATGGAAATGTTGCTGCGGACAGTGAAGCGGGTAAGGAAAGAATGGCTAAATTTATACAGGTATGGAAAATGAATGGCCACTCTGCTTTCAAAGTTATGGAATTTTGTCAAGGTTTGTACCAAAAGAGGGCCATGTTTGAATGGTTATTGGAAGAACTTGTTCAGCCTCGTCCTTCAATGGAGGCTTTTGTCCGGTCAGGTTGTGGTTGAGCTGACACCTGACTCTTGGTTTGTGTGTGTGTGTTTGCTGGCAGGCTCGCTTCCATTTTCCTGTCTGTTGGAGTTCAAGAGGACGCATCACTGGCTGAACAGGTGCTGTATCATACAAAGATACACACACAACCGCACACACACAACTGACCTAAATTAATCACACTCTGGTTTACAGAGATATAGAATGAGAAATTAGCAACATATGTGCCAAAAAGTATTGAGATTTTATTTAGGGGTGAAAAAGCGACAGAATAAACAACTGAATAACAGAAACAGAATGGATGATGAGGACTTCGGGGTGCTTTAAATTACGAGTTATATAAAAATGAAAATTCTGTCAGTTGTCTTTTTTTATTTTTCCTTGGAAAGAATGTGCAACTAAAGTTAAAGAGTTGGATCATTTTATGATATTAATTCATTCTTGTTGTTACTAATGGATTATATGCACAGAAGTGTTGTTCAGCCACTAAAATTTTCCAGCCAATGATTGATGTGACTACTTTTCTATATCATAAGGGGCCTTTTACAGCATCGATAATGAAGATTTTTATTTAGTTTAGCAGCAAAACACAAGTAAATATACGCAATTTTGACTAGCCTGCTTATTGGGATGAAGTTGGTTTTATATTCTCATTGGCTTATTTTTGAACAATGACAATCTGTGACGTGGCCCTTATATTGTTTACCATGTTACTTTGAATAATCGGTTTGAAATAACTTGTAAGTATGGCCAAAATCCCTTTAAGGCAAGTCATTTCACTCGGCGGCCATCTTTGAAACACCTTTCAGGCAGTAGGCTCGGGCATTCTGTTTGAATGGAGAAACATTAAATTCTCCAAAACTGCTTGCCAAGCTTATGGTAGAATTTCATATTAGAAATCATCAATAAAATTGAACAACTGTGTCTTTAGTTTTATTTCTAAACGTCACACAAAATCTCCAGAAACTCAAGTCTGGTCCGAGCCCCTCCCCCAGAGTATCGTCATCCTATAGTGATCAATGATTGGCTCCTCTTCTAAAAGGCGGACTTTATTCACCATATTGCAATCAATGATTGACTCATGTACTTAAATGCGGGCTTTTTTTCACAATATTTACTGTTACATTTTTCCCCATTTATAACAAAATTAGTGACACGTCTTATATATTCAATAGTCATTGGTATGGCTTAGTATTAAGGCCCAATCCCAATTGTATTTTTGTACTTCTACCCCTTCCCCTTGGCCCATACAACCGAGGGTTAAGGGGAAGGGCTTTAAAATTTACCTAAGAATTGGGCACCTGTACCTGCACACGTCATCATATGTCATTGCCACCTCTTGCTTCATATAGGATCAGACGATCGCGACTGCTGTAGTTATTACAGTTGTGCTATTTTTTAGTATTTATCTTCAGGAAATCACTGAAGGCATATATTATGTTATCATAACCATCTAATGTGACAACAAGATTGTGACTGTACTGTGTATTTGCACAGTGGCCATATTCATCAATGTAAACACATCAAAAACAACACTAACATTATAGCAGACACTGCAAAAAGCTCATTCCCAGCCACTAGACTTCTCTGACAGGGTATTTGAGTGTCATCGAGTGTCAGAAGGTTGTGGGACTGCTATACATGAGTTATGATTATAGATTATAGATCGCAAAATTTAGAGTTTTTTTTTAGCTTTTTTTTTAAGCATGGCGGTAAAACACGTACGCGGTTATGAATATATTAAAATGTGTTTGTTTGCCGTGAAAATTCGTAATAATGACAAAAAATACTAATTTGTGGATCTCCTTACTTATGGGTCCAGCTATCCTGTCGTTGTGGCTGGTGTATTCTGGGAAATTTTCTTACCCCTTGGTTTTGCGTGTGGTCCTAAAAAATGTTCGTTCGAAGGGCTATTTACCCCTTGCCCTTAGCCCTATGCCTTCAAGCTAAAGAGAATTGACATAACCCTACCCCTTGACGTGAACGCGCAAAATGAGGAGAAAGGGCTAAGGGGTAGAATTGGGATTGGGCCTAAGTGTAATTCCTGCACCCCGCCAGCCAACTACTAAGCGTAAAAACAGTTTTTCTTAAAAAATTGAAGTATTATAAAGTTTTCTAACTGGTAAATGACATGATTTCCTACTTTCTTCTTTAAGGTGCATGTGTTCGTGTTTCAGGAGGCGTGGCTTTGGACAGCAGGGAAGGGTGTTTTCAAAGCTCTTATGCTAACAGTTAACATTTTGGCAGATCACCTACTGCACCTTTAACCAAAACAGGTTTATTAAACATATATATCCCTTAAATATATATTTTTTTCACTTAACATTTTTAGGACTAGATAGAAAAATGAAAAAAGAAAATATATATTTTAAATTTTTAATATATATATATATATATATATATATATATATATATATATATATATATATATATATATATATATATATATATATATATATATATAAAATTATTTTTCCTCGTTATTGTATTTTTATATTCTAATTTTTACCAACATATTAATTTGGGTGTACTAATATTTGCACTCTTATCCTAAGTACTCCTATTATATCCAGAAGAGGTACATAAAATACAGGTTAGCAACAATAAAAGTATAAATTTTAAATAATCAGAAGTACTCAGAAGGGTTTTGCCTAAGGGTATGTTTACGCAAAAACAAAAAAGTTCCATGGATAAATGACAATGTTGTCAAAACAATTCCGTTCACATGGATATTCTAAAGCAACTAACAGCGTAATATGCAAGCCAGGTCAGTTTTTAATGATGTTACTTTATGTGGCTCTGTAGATATGCTTCTGTAGTCCAGCATTGTCATTTTGGTTGTCAACATCTCCAATTTCATGTTTTTGTTGAGACAATAACAGAGCAAAGTCTACAATATATATAAAAAGTTTAGTGTTTTCAGAGGAAATTGCTGTGTAAATATACCCTATACTAGAGCCAATGTTAAATGATTAATTATAATTATAACAACAGCATGTTATTCAAAATAATATAAAAATTATTTATTACAAATAGGCCATATATAACTGTTGACCACAATTAACTCTATGTTGTCAAAATTGGAATTTCATAAATATGAAATACAAATGGTAATGCAATTTGTATTTAAATGGGCTCAAAAACAGCTTTAAACGCCAGTTAATGCATTTTAAGGTATACACTTTATTTGTTTCATTTTGGGTAAACTATTCCTTTTATAAACAAGTTCAGTATGCTAGAGGAAAAGAGAGTGTATATAGTGAAAGGAGAAAGAGCGAGCAGTGTTTCTCTTAGAGTCAGAACAATTATTGTTTTTACAATTGCAGACAGCAGGGCATCAGTCTTGGAAATGGGGAAAGCAGATCATTCCAGCAGTTCATTGTGTGCTCACATACTGGCTGCCTTTCCGGTCCTTCTCTCTCTTAACTGTGTCAGCCATATGGAATTGAGGACAAAGACATATTACGTTTATGCTAATTGCCCAAAAGCCATGTGCAGACAAAGGACTGCAAAGGTGTACCTGTACAATGATAAAGTGACTGAGAAAACCGTGGCACACATGTGAAAAGCCAGATGTACAGAGGGTGGGCATGCACGCCTGTTTATGTGTCTGTGTTTGTTCCTTCAGAGGAGAACGTGACATTTGAAGGATGAGAGGCTCTTTTCATACTGGCAACCGGAAACTTGCAAGCCTTTTTCATTTCACTGATGCACTTCATAGGGGAAGAAGAAAGAAAAGAGTTGCAGAAAGAAAGAACAGTGCACAAATGCACTAAACTATAGTTCCTTTAGGGGTGCATCCGCTTGTGGAACATTGAAGCTTATAGAAGTACCTAAAGGCTATAGTTTGCTACAATTTAAGGTCCTAAAATGTACCTTTTAAGGTTTGAGAAGATACAAAGTTGCCACAGTGGCACATTGTTGTATCCCTAAAGGTATGTTTTGCAAATTTTGTGTGAACAGTATAAAAAGGAAGTTTGAAAGCGAGACAGAAATGAAAAACTAATCTAAAATGGAGATGGCTGAAGGGCAAGTAAGATGCATACTGGCTGCTTTTCCCTCAAACAATCTCCCTTTATCCTGTTTATTAATCAATACTGCCACTGTTTCCACCCGGCAGCAGAGTTGTGTGTAGCAGACGGCTAAGACGGGGTTTTCAGGTGGCACGCCACACCAAAAACTTCCCAGCATCCCTTCTGCTCAGCAAATGATGACGCATCATTCTGCTGACACAAGTCACCTGATTGCTGTGTCACGGCAGTGGTTTTAGGCGAGTGGCAGCGCTCTGGCTACAGACGTAGAGTCTTTTTTTTCCTCCCAGACGCACTGCGGCACAGCCAGACGACTAGAGTGGAAGCACAGGAGCTCACAGCTGCAGTCGACTGGCTTGTTTCGGGGAGGCTTCCTTTCGAAATACAGTCGCTGTGCTTCTCTCCGCCGTTAAAGGATCATTTTCATCGGGGCAGAGCAATCAAAGAGAGTAGAGCCAAGAAAGAAGACAAACTTTGAGTCAAGCAACTTGGAATTACGCTCCGTCTCTGAAATTTAGGATAAGCAAGTCCAGATTGTGATTTTTGTCTTGTTTTGGACTGCTTATGCCAGCATCTTCATCTCCAGACCAGGATTCCAAGCTGCGAAGTCGGCGATAAAGGATTGCAGTGCGTCACCTGTCTGTCCCGTTATAAACCTGTCCCATTCGAGTCGTCCAGTCAGCCGGGCCCACTTGCAATCCCACACACGGCGACCAGCCAAAGTGACCACTCTGCTCCAAGGTTAAGGTGGTTTTCAATCCTAGACATAGTCCTTGTCCAGAGGGCAGGGCAGAGTCAAACAGAAGCAGCGACGCAGCAGCTGAGCTGAGCTCAGCCAGACAGACGCGGTGACCTAAATCAGCCCCAGTCATGTCTGGACGCAGCCAAAGCCAGAGAGACGAAGAGGAAAACGAGCGAGAGAGGCAGAGCGCAACCCACACGTACTGACTTCAACATATACACGCACTATGGTAGGTTTAGACGGCTGCAATTAGCTTGTAGTTTTTCTCGTTCTGTTTTTGCTGTCCGTAGTTAAGATTAGCTTGTCTGTGGCTGTGCTTCTTTCTCTGTGCCATAGGGATGGAGAGAAATGGAGGAGGCTGTAAGGGGAGGGGGAGACAGAGTTGTCTCTCTCTCCCTCTCTCGCTCTTTTCTCCACCGCTTTATTTCGTTCATGTTCACAGCGCTGATCTTCACCGTTGCTGCAGAGCGAAACGTAGAGTCGTGTCCCACTCAACCTCCCCCGTTTGCACTTTTGGGTACAGGTAAGACATTCACTTTTTCGTCTTTGACAACCAAATATGTGAACCCCTGAGTCTGAGTGGGCGGGTTTGCACGTCGGTTTTACTTGCTTTTGGTGAATCCGACACACATTAAACCCAAGACTGTGAACAGGAGCACATCCCCCATCCTCCCAAGCACAGACTCCAAGGGAATATTGCAAATTTACAATCGGTAGGTTGTGTTGGCGGTGCATGTTCCTTTTGAACTGAAGGACTGCTAATGAAGTCCCTCAGATGCACCTCAGATGGTGGTTTAATCACAGCATGTTGGGAATGATGAAGTCTTTTTTTAAGTCAAACAAAGATGGGAATGTTTTTGAGTGAGTTCAAGTAAGTGGATGTGTGTAATGTAACTCTTAATTTATTTGCTCCGGGCAAAAAAACTTACATATACACTTTACACGTCAACGCCTGTATATTTTTCTTGGCACAAATCGTCCCACACTCAGCAGGAACTCGGTGCTTATCACAGGGGAAAACAGTCTAGCCATAAGCTGGAGACTGATATCTTGAACATGTCCACTCAGATTCCTTCTGCTAGCAAATCACTTATTAGTCTATGCTTGGGAAAGTACTACTTCACAGTTTCAGTCTCATCCACCTGCACAGCAAGACACATGTAAGATCTCTCACACACAGCTGTTCTTAAGAACCCAAGGAGGTATTTCACTGTTAAGAGGCTCTCAGGTAAAAGTTACAGGTGTCATATTATATTTCAGTGCTGTGAGATCTGTAATCTTGTGGTATATGCTCTTTCAGTGTCAAATACAGTCGGGTGCACAGCACACCACCAATACAACTGTGCCAGATGGGCCATCTGTTTTGCTTGGGGGTCAAAAAGTATAAAGTCATCCTATCCATGCAGGTGTAAATACCTTTCTCTGTTTTATACGGAACATTAACTATATTTAATATAGAAATTATATTATATTATATTATATTATATTATATTATATTATATTATATTATATTATATTATATTATATTATATTATATTATATTATATTATATTATATTATATTATATTATATTATAAACCATTTTAATGTGGTGATGTCTCTGGCCCATGAACATTTCCAGCTTGTTGTCAAAGTACTTCATAACTGTTAAAAAGAGTATTCAATCATAACTTAATGTTAAAACAGCAATCATAGTATTATTTATCAATATGTGCACCTTTATGGGTTCTCAGAAGCTATGGAAATGAAAACATGTAAAACAGGAAACACATAGGGACCACTGCTATTGTTTACGTCCCTCTAAATGGTCTATATTACATTATTATATATTATATTATATTATATTATATTATATTATATTATATTATATTATATTATATTATATTATATTGTATTATATTATATTATATTATATTATATTATATTATATTATATTATATTATATTATATTATATTAATTTATATTAATTTATATTGATTAATGCTAAGTCTAACCAAAACGTTTATAGTGTCATAGATATTTTTAATTATTGTGTGTGTGTGTGTGTGTGTGTGTGTGTGTGTGTGTGTGTATATATATATAAAAATATAAGCAAACATAATGGTATAAACTGTATCATATTTAATAACTGACTTTAGGCTTTTTTTTAAAATGATATCTTCTTTTATTATATCATCCACCTAGTAATGATACTTACCTGTGTGGGTTAAAATATGTCATACAAAAAAACACATTCCCAGACTTTCTTATACCAACACTTTCTTGTCTATTTGGTGTACTTTTTACATTTCCCCATCAAAATGTTTTAAACTTGTTACACTTGCAATTGCTTCTCTATTTCAAATTTAACGGTATTGTATTTGTTATTTACAAAAATAATTCAGTTTGACCTTTTTTCAAAAACTTTATGAATTCTTTATACTTTTTTATCGCTTTAGACTAATTGAAATTTTATGGTGTTTAAATGTTGTTCTGTTGTTGATATTTTGATTACTTACCTTGTCCTCATTTGTAAATCGCTTTGGATAAACATGTCTGCCAAATGATTAAATATACATGCAAATGTATGTAAATTAAATTGAGGAACCAAAAGCGGAGTAGAGAGGTTTTACTTAAGAATAAGCATTAACAAAGTTCAACCGAAAGCTTGCTTTTTTTTGATAATTTAGTAAGGGTAAAAAACACCTTACATATCTGTTTTAAAAACCCTCTTTCACTATTTAAAATTCCAGCATTATTATCTTAAGGATTATTTACATTACAGAAACCGTTATTAGCGATGCCAGTGGCTGTTAGGTGAATTGCTTTAGAAACAGCAATTGTGGTTTATGGGATTGGCCTGTGCAATTAGTAAAATGAGACTTATTGAAGGGTAGGTTAATAAAGTGTATTATATTTGTTTCGTCATTTAATTTCAATGTAAACTTAGACAAGGCAAGTTTATTTATATAGCACATTTTATACACAATGGTATCAGGAAGATTAAAAAAATATATAAAAAAATTGTGAGATGAAAGGGAAATTAAAATAGTATTAAATACAGAATAAAAAGAAAAGAAAAAAAAACTGTTTAAAAAGAATAAAAATATCACAGAGCTGAAGAGATCTTTTCATTCCAGTTGCTTTGTGCATGTCCTGTTTTGTGGATATAATTACGTGTGGAAGCATGTTAACTGTCAATCAAATCGGTGGGCGAGGCAACTGCACTCATACATCATGTGGTGGGCCTCAAAATGGGAGAGATTTGGATTTTGGAACATCAGGAAATTTCAAAAAGAGACTTATTGTCTATCTAATACTCCAATATGACTGTGGACACTATTGCTTCCTTGTCCTCATTTGTAAGTCACTTTGGATAAAAGGGTCTGCTAAATGACTAAATGTAAATGTAAATATCTACACACAGTCCTGTCAAAACAGTTTACAAAAGATTATTTTCATCATAGGTGCGCTTTAATTTGTTTGTTTAAATTCAGCCCATATGGTTTGTAACCACTTACCTTAAATACATTTTGTAGATCCAATGATTCATCAATCCAATGACCTTTGTAAAATGGTGAAAGCTTGCCCACTTTTGCCATCTTCCAGAAGTAAAATAAATAAAAAAACTACATTTAATCAGACCGACAATTCGCCACAGCAGCAGTTTCCTTAAATGACCCTTAAGTGCCTGCTGCATAGACTCTTAAGAACCCATAGTGTAGCATTAAATGCAAGTACATTATGTCATATCAGGATTACAGTACATGTATTCAATCTGTTGCTTTTCTTTGCTTTTCATAGCAGAAAGTGGGTCACGCGTCTCAGCTCATGCCAGACCCCACTCATCTCCATATGTTCCCTCAATCTACTCAAGGCTTTCATTTGCCAGCTCTTCTATCACTGTACTGCAGTTATAAAATCCTTTTTTTGCCTAATATAGTGCATTAGAGCATCAGCTTTGATGCTTGCTATTTTTTGAAGCTTTCTTTGTTCTGAACTGCCTCGCATCATTCTTAAATGATTTCAAATGACTGAGACCGCAAACCATCCACACGCACACATCTGAATGCACTTGAGCCCTTAGACTAGAACCGAGAATTTACAGGCAAACAAGCTGTAAATAGCTTCACCTCGTTATCCGAAAGGTTTCCAGAAGGATTCTTTGTGTTGTGGGTTACTTTTGAAAAGCAAAATCTAAAAGAGACAAACACTTTCTAAGGTTTGTGTAAAACAACATCTTAGGGCAATTCATTGATATTTTACATTTACGTGACTTATTGCCTCAAATCCTAACTCAAATTAAGGCTTAGTGGTGGATTTACATTATTCCTTTTTTCCTTAAAACATTACAGTTTCATACCAATTGACCACAGCAGCTATATTTCTTTGAGAGGGTTAGTAGAGAGCCTAAATATTTTCAAAATTTTCAGTTTAAGCTTAAAATCCCCCATATTTTTTTCTACTGAGATGAGTTGTCAGCTTAGTCTTTAATAATTTTGTCCTAAAATAGTTTACAAAAGGACTAAGAATTACATTTCAGATGACAAAATCACCTAGAAGACACAGTCTACATTTTTGTGAGTCTGAAATGAGATATTTAGTATGTGTTTTATTACACATATAATGTTCCTTTTGTGACCGTACACGTCCCAAACTTTTCAGCACAAGACCCCCAAAATTAAAAAGAGGACCAAATATATTCAACAATTTCGAAGAACGCTACACGGAGACCATCCTCCATGTTCAGTTATGGCCTGTACGTGTTTCTAATGTACGTAAGTGCAGAAAATGTGTCAGAAAGTTTAACCTGGTGCCGTAAAATCAATGTGCTGTGTGTTTAATTTAACGCAATCAACCCAGGGGTTGCAAAAAAATAAAATAAAAATTGCTGAAGGTTTTTGTTATTTGAATGTTTTTTTTTTTTTTTTTTTTTTTTAAATGTAACTATTATTATTCATTTATTTTCTTGTCGGCTTAGTCCGTTTATTAATTTGGGGTTGCCACAGCAGAATGAACCGCCAACTTATCCAGCATGTTTTTACGCAGCGGATGCTCTTCCAGCCGCAACCCATCTCTGGGAATCATCCACACACACTCTTTCTCACACACACAATCATACACTACGGACAATTTAGCTTACCAAATTCACTTGTACCGCATGGTAGTGGACTGTGGGGGAAACCGGAGCACCCGGAGGAAACCTACGCGAACGCAGGGAGAACATGCAAACTGCACACAGAAACGCCAACTGGGCCAAGGCTCAAACCAGCGACGTTCTTGCTGTGAGGCGACAGCACTACCTACTGTGCCACTGCTTCGCCCATGTAACTATTAATGTAAATATTAAAAATTTGGTTATGGATAATATATGGTAATTCTAGTAGTCTGTTAAAATGATTTTTTAAATTTATTTCTTATTTTTTTATATCATCAGGTGCCCCCCTCCGCCCTCCCCTCATTTTTCTGTGACTACCACTTTGGGAACTACTGACCTAGTTAGCCACTGATCTAAACCCAACCAATAGTGTTTTCAAAAGTGA